GGTCATGGCCCATCCTCCTTAACCATCCATAAGGAAGGCCTGAGCCCCTGCAGTGAGGACATAAAAGGGCTGATGATTTGCCTAGACCCCCCCCTCTCTCCAACGTGAGATTAGATGAGATTTGACTCGACTCCCTCCCCCCCTTAAACATCTCACGTAATTTATGGACGCCCCCTAACCACTGCGATATTATTCATCTTTTTAGGGTTTCATACCCAGAGGGAAAACGGGAACTGTTACACTAAGACCGTCCGTTGTCCGACCGTTTGTCACCAGGCCATGTCTCACGATCCTAAATAGGTAAGTCAGTTGAAATTTTCACAGATTTTATATTTCTGTTACCACTCATAACAACAAATATTAAAAAAAATAGATATATATATATATATATTTGAGGGAGCTGTCATACAACTAACGTGATTTTTTTGCGTATGATGGTACGGAGCCCTCAGTTTTTATACGGCCGGTTTCAATCAGCTTGCGAATTCACAAATGGTTAAATAATATACCTAAGGTTTAAACTGGTGTTTTATTATGGAGAATATATATTTTTTGTCTGTATTTAAACTCATATACACACATCAAAGATAGAATCTAAGTGTTCTGGTTCGGTAATTCAAAAAGAAAATCTGATTAGTATATCTCACGGAGATATACATCTTGTTACATTACAACGCATAATTATCTGAATAACATATAATTGTCTGTTTATCAAGACCACAATCAATGGTTACCTTTGCATTGAAATCTAAGAACCAAGAAAATTCTCCGTAATATCTGCGGCAATAAAGCAGACATATTTATCAGGGTCCCTATAAAAATATTTAGGACCTCGAGATAATAAACTTTTGCCCACGAATCTTATGACCAGCCCAGAAAGTCGTTTAACTCCCACATTATAGACTGAATACGCTTACCACTGCATCATCGAAGCTCCTAAATTTAAATTTATTTGTTTATTTACGTAACAAACAGTCACATACTGACAATTATGAAGCTTTTGTTAACAGATATACCTATAGTACATATAAATAGGTCATAATAAGTTTAATAATAGACATTGCACGTAAATAACGAATATGATATAAACAGTATAGAAACCAACAAGCGATGTTGAAGCATTGCGTAGATACAATGTTTTGAAGATTCGATTCACATTGAGATGGTGTGAACAGGGGTCCAACCATGAACTCTTATAGTAATGCTTAATCCGTGCAGCGAGCGGGACACCCCTATTGTTTCGTATAGCGTTGTCCCGCTCGCTGTACGGATTAAACGTACCTTTTAGAGGTGGTGGTAATCCTCCAGAACCACGAACAACGAAACAACGACTATAGACCACCTATTATGAAGAGTAAAATCTTACAAAATCTGCTCACAAGCAACTAAAACGATAACATTATATAAATACCTATACCCATAACCAATAAGTTATTTCCTTAAAATCTCTATGCATTCGACAGCGTGGGATGCGCTTATTTAACTGCCATAAATAGGAAGTCAGTAAAAGCTATTAACTACGATAAAATTAACATGGCAATGCGTATAAACGGCACAATAGTGACGTAAACACGCCGCGTGTCGCGGACGATCAAACGACTCGCACGCCGCGACCAATCGCGGGCTTATCGCGAATAATGTTAACTCGCATTTATATGTATTATACCTTTATATATATTAACATGAATGTGTTTTTAATATGGTCTTATTGATTTCAAGAATAACTTACAATGTTAGTTAAAAAATTGTGTAACAAAAAAATATTGAGTTAAAATTATCAAGCATGCTATAAACATTAATAATTGTATGACAACTTTAATTCTTGTTTCAAACAAATAAATTATTATTATATATGATCAATTTCCCATTCACAAGGCTATACTGAAAAAAATGTCTTAGTGAAAAATGCTTAAAAAACCACTTTGTCCCTGTCACTCTGAGCTGGTACTCGAACCCATGACCTTTCGCAATCCGGGCGACTGCTCTAGTAGCGTAAAAGTAACAAGTGCTTGAAAAAATCGTCAGTCCTGTTAGATTCTAGGTAGCTGGCTAGGTAGATGGGTTCGAGTCCCATCTCAGAGTGCCTGAGAGAAAGTGGATTTTTTAAGCATTTTTCATTATCGAATATAGATATAATTATTATTATACCAATCGCATTGTGCCATTTTAAGCACAAAAGCTAAATTGTCAATTTTAAAAAAGATATTGGAGTCTCTCATTTATTCCCATTTTATAACACATACAAGTAGACGAATATGTAGAAGTAAATAAATGATTTTTAAACATGGAGATTTTATAAAAGGTTTATTACAAATTTTATAACATATTAGTGAAATTGACCTAGTCCTTTGATCTCTATGAGTCCAGTGAAACTAGATGTTTTTAAACTTAATACATATTTGTACGGAACCTCCGGTGACCCAACAAAGAGCTCAAAAAACACTACAAACTGACTTGTAGCATTAAAAGAAAATTATAAGTATTAATTACAAACAATTTTTCAAATGCTTTTCTTTCGAATAATGCTGTAATATGAGAGGCAATTTCACACATAAAGGCAGTTCGGTTAATAATTAATGCGTACCTATGCTTGGAGACCGCAAACCACTCTTACACACCTTATGGTGAATACGACTTTACAATAAAACATGTGAACGTGCAAATTCAAGACATCTCAAACGATAATTGTTTGACGGAAACAATAAATAAATGTAAAGTATTCCAATATAGTGAATAATGCTTAATGCTTACCTTTATGTACCTTTTTACTTTTTAATCTTCTGTCTACACTTACTACAATACAAAAAACTTAACAAAGAACCGACATTTGTAAATTTTTATTATCTGTAAGCAATATTTCTACAATTATATTTAACTGCACAATTATTCTATTCTACAAAATATAACAAAATAAAGATTCGATTATTGCAATGAAAAGTCCCGAAAGTAATGAACTGATTTTAAAAATTATTAAATCTAGAGGAAGTTACATTATACGAAAGTGACACGTGCTATAATTTACGCGGGCGAAGGCGCGGGAGAATAGCTAATATGATTGATTTATGCAAATATTGCATGTATTAACGGCTGCATTTGCAGTCGTTAATACCCTCCAATCCGCATTGGGCCAGCGCGGAGGGTCATGGCCCATCCTCCTTAACCATCCATAAGGAATGCCTGAGCCCCTGCAGTGGGGACGTAAAAGGGCTGGTGATATGCAAATAAAAAAAATACAAATCTCTGGCTATAACATTAATAAAGGTTAAGGTTTATGTAGTGTCACCATATGAATATGTGTGTTACAAATAAGTGCTGGCTATAATTTCCAGTTCAGTGGCTTCAAAGGAAATAAGCAATAAACTGCTTATCGTTCACCCGCAAATCGTAGTCACTTAAGCATGAGATTAAAGCGATGAATTTCGTGATCAGTTGATAGATATATTAGTATGTATATAATATATGTAAGAAACATTACAGATATAAACGCAGACAGTTAAAACGTGAAAATTCGCCCGGTGTATACATTTCAATCAAAAATGAGATATCTACAGCATTTCTTTTTTATTGTAATTTTATCCTTCTTTATAGTAAAATTACTATATAATTGAGTCTCTTTGTAGTCTAGAACTTTATGCAGAACTTTCACTCTAATACTCGTAATACTTAGATTAGATTAATTAATAAATTAAAAATAGGTTTTCACGCCCAATAACAAAACAAAACTCTAACATTTTGTTGTCCACTAAAGCTTCAAAACGGCAAGCGAAGTAAACCTTCATGTTCAAATTTACATTATTAGCGAAGAAAAAATACTTTTTCTTTTTTAATACCACGTTTTGAGACCGCAGTCATGACAACTCGAACTGCATCCATTGAATTCCAAGTCTGAGTTTCTTAAGAAGCGCTATTAAGCGGTAAGCGATTTCTTCACGTCGTTAAAGTGAAAAGTACAAGTGCTATACGATACCACGTGAGGCACCAACAATGGAATAATGAACACCTTACAATTTTGATTTGCTAATTACATTTATTAGTTTTTGAATTTAGTTTCGTATAATTTTTTGAAAGCTCATTAAATATTATCAAGAAAAATAAGACACTCATAATACATTCTTAGAAGCTTTTTTGTGTAATTCAATTCACAATAATCTCCATATTGTATTGAAATTAACCACACTTAAACAATAGGGGTTTTTATTATATAGATATACATGAAATATATCTAAAAAATATTTTAAAAAGGATCATTTGTTTAATAAGTTTAAAATATAAAAATATATTTAGCTTTCAAAATTTCCCGCGAAAACGCCAACTTCTGTCATGGCGTCGCTATGACGTCACGGCTCTGTTAAACTTAGGTTCTGATACGAGTAAGAGAGGCGTGACGTCATGTGCTGTTCGCGGTCACGTGACAACGAGTATAAAATATTGGTTTTATCTTAACTAATTTAAGCAATATTATAAATACAAGAAGCGTAACATTGTGATTATCGGTAATAGTATATTAAACACTACTAGAAAAAAAATAATTTCGTTTACTGTCTACACCCGTATTGAATCAAAAGCAAATATCATCGATGTCATCACCAGCCCTTTTACGTCCCCACTGCAGGGGCTCAGGCCTTCCTTATGGATGGTTAAGGAGGTTGGGCCATGACCCTCCACGCTGGCCCAATGCGGATTGGAGGGTATTGACGACTGCAAATGCAGCCGGGACCAACGGCTTAACGTGCCTTCCGAAGCACGGAGTAGCTCGAGATAATAATTTTTTGGTCACCCATCCCGTGACCGACCCTTGCGAAAGTTGCTTAACGACTACGATCGCGGGCCGCGGCGCTTATCCACTACGCCACCGAGCTACTCTATTATATAATATATATATATATATATAATAAACGGCGTGTCTGTTGTCCACAACCTTTGGTGTGACGACAGTTGACTAGACAGAGGAAATGGTTCGACAGTCGTGAAATGATATTACGAATCGAAAATCATCCAAATTAAGTATCATAGTAGCGGTTGTCTTTGGTGGTCACAATAAAATCATCGATGTCATTGAATGCTAATTCTGTACATTAAAATTAAACCAGAATCTTTTTTAAATAAAATTAATCCGGAACATATTGTGCATTCTAACCTTTACCTTATTTTCTAGGCAAATTATTTATTTTCGTACCCACATTGATGGCTATGGGAACTACCAGGTGTGTACTCGACAAATCGTATGTAGCCACTCATTACATTACCATACAACAACAATATCAATAAACCATTGACAATCTGTTGCCAACCCTCAAATAGAACGGTTGACAGCAAATTATTATTTATGATATTATTGGGGCCGACGAGACCCCTGTGAACTTACAGACCAATCAAATATGTAACAAAAGGAAAACGGGTTGCACGCTATTATATGAAGATTATAGCAACATTTTTATTGGTAAGGCGTGTTACTGACTGTGAATAATTGATAGAGGGATGGAAGGGTACGCAATTCGATTTGTTGCGATTGTGTTCTTATGACGTTCATATTTAGATTTAACATCGTAACATGACTTATAACACTTCATTGTTTTACGTTCACTAGACGTAGACAATGCAATGAAAAGTACCAAAACGAATACATTTTTTGTATAATGATAATATGGTCTTTAAAACAAACAACAACAAAAATATAACAGCAGACTGTTTACAATTAAATAACATAGTAAAGTATTACTCGTATTAATATAATAAAAAGAAAATATCTGACTTACCTGCCGTACTTGCTTATACTGTTCTTCAAAGCTCCAACCTGCTGCGCTGCCCTCAGATGACGAAGACGACGCTGACCCCGCGGGCTGAGCTGGTGGCGGCGGCGCGGGGGCCAAAAACGCAGGAGGTGCGTACGGGAAACCACCCGTGGGCCCCCCACCGGCCAAAGCAAACACGCTGCTCGGTGACGAAAGCGGGGCTCCTTGAGCCAACGAAGCCAGTGATGAGAGGTGGGGATGGAGTGACGACTTTAGTGATTCGAAATCGTCACGAACCTGCGAATATATCATTCAAATTGACTCTCCTTTATCTTCCGCAGAATGATACTACTAAATATAGTTGGTTAATAAAATTTACTAGTATATTTGTTACCTATATTTTAAGTAATTTATAGTTAAAGAATTAATTATTTGAAAATTGAAATCCTTGGATCAAGGACACACAATCGTCAATTCTCTTACTCAATACTTTAAAGCTACGCACGCACTGGTGATTTTTGTCATCCACCGAAAGGATGTCTAACGCGGTGACGATATACAAAAGGGCACGGTGACAAAAAATCACCAGTGTGTGTAACGTAATATTAATTCTATAAACTATGTCAGTTGTCTATGGGGAGCTATTGTTTTAGAAGTCTACATTGTTTATGATCTACAAAACATTATGACGAGTAATAAAATAATTCAAGAGTAAATTAAGCCTTCTTACTTTGAGCTCCCTCTCATGGGGTCTGGGCGAATTCCTTTGATGGTGGCTCATCTGATGGTTATTGAGTGTCGGATGTGAGACCACCGGATGATGGTTCATGTTGTGCTGGTGAAGTTGTGGTGACTGGTGAGGCGGGTGAGGCTGGTGCGGGTGGGGCTGACTGGGCGGATGTTGGAGGGGCGCTGGTGCGTCACGGCCTACCCCCTCATCTGAACTCTCGCAAGACTGCTCCCCTGAAGATTCCCCTTCTGACCGCGCGGACTGCAAACGAAATAGTGGTAAATGACATTGTTTAGAATGCTGCGATTGGGATCGGACAGCAATCAAATAAAAAAAAAACATTTCGTGTTATTAAAAAATTCATACAGTTTAAAGATTATTCATCGAATATTTTGGTTATTTAAAATTACTATTTTTCAATATCTATCTGTAATCTGTGACACATGTCAAACGAAACACCAATCAGAGAGCGTGACGTAATTTTCGGGTAAATTGGTAGTAAAATTATCTAAGAGAAGCGAGGGAAACATTCAAAATGGAAAATGATTTTAATTATTTATTGTATATTTACAGGGGTTATATTCAATTACCAAAAAAAGTGAAGCTACTACAAATTTTGTTTTAATCGACTCATTTCATTACGAAATATAGTAGAAAAACGAAGAAATGCACTAGAAAAAATACTATTCTCTTATATACACAATATATGAAATAGGATTACGTTTCACATTTATATCATAAAATTTTGTAATTTTTTTGTTAGTCACATCAATTCTTTCAATCTTCTTCTTTCAATATGGGAGCTTTTTCTTTTTATTTTACGTGGCTATAATTTATCTAAATAATTTCTTTTAATAAATTACATAAATTAATTTTGCATTTGATACTACTATCGAATATTGTAAATTTAAATTAAAGAACAATGGCGAACTCCCATATAGCTTTGGACCTGAATTTTTAAAGTCCCGTTCATGAATGAAATAAACGTGTACTTGAAGGTATAAACTAAAGTAACAAAATCCCAATCGTCTTTTTCCTTTAAAAGTTGGGGTTAAAAAGATATGGCATAAAATACTTTGTGGGGTTATATATTGCATCTTTGCTTTTTCGTTGAATGGCCGTTAAAATAAATAAAAATGGTAACCAGATTACTCCGTTTAATAAACTAGATTAAGATAGTAACATATCTAACAAGATCCAGACACTTATAATAGATGAAACATTTATAACATATGACTAGACTGTGTGGAGTAGATCCCTTTGCCTTTAATTAAATAATTACAACTGAAAGTGACAAATAAGGGCAATGTACACATTGAACTGTCATTGATATACCGAATCGATTGCCATTCGGAATCCAAAAGTAATGCAATTATCAACGTTAGTCAAAGAAACATGCTTAATTGTCAAGTTGAATATTAACATAAATATCAAACTCCAACAAACAAACCAAACTAATCATCCGCTATCATTCCACCATCATCATCATAGAACATTCATAGATGAAAACAAGTATGTCAAAATAAAATCAACCAATCGATTATTTAGAACAAAATAATCGATACGTTAACCTTTCATCGAATCAACTGCAGAACTGGCAATAATCTTCTTAAATCGGTTATGGTATCTTAGCTTTCAATTTTTTTATTTCTCAAGTATTCAATTCGTAATTTGAACAAATAAAATAAATATTTATGAAAGTATTCAAAGATCGTATTTCATATAATATATTATATATAGATTTTATATTGAATATATATTTGACGTTCATTCGCTCAGTCGGTACGCATCATTAAATCACATATCTCACTTATTATTAGCAGTTAATGACGACAGATAATATTCTATAGAACATGTTTAAAAAACTCGCGATTAATTGAGAATCGCTTCTGACATCGTTGATGTATGTGATCGATTTTTCAAAAACCATCCAAACTACAACCCTTTGACATATTGTGTGGTTTTCAATTAAAGAGAACGGAATCTATTCTATATAATCTTATTTTGAATTTAAATTCGATTATTAAGCGTATTAATGGTACTTTAAAGGCAATAGAATTAATTGTTATGTACAGGAAACGATAATATCCATTAAAATAGATGACCCTTTTATTATTAGATATAGTTTTATTATTAAAGTACTTCTGCGTAGACCAGAACGTTTCATAAGAAGATTTTCGCGTTTTGTTTTTGCACTATCATCAGACGTTTTGTTATCTTGATAATTATTAGCAGCATTTAATATTTTAGTTTGGTTCCCCGACATTAAAATTCATCAATTTGTAGAAATAAAATCTATTAATCATATATTATTTATTTGTCATATTGCCATCCATGTACGGTTTTGTAAATTATGGGGTCTGATTTCGCCATTCTTCTTTATATGATTAACTCTTATAACTGCCGTTACGTTTTCATATTAAGATTAAGAATCTCTGTTCATAATCCCACTCATAGTAACTGCTTAAAAATGTAAGAATGTGCCATACATAGAGTAAAAGAGATAAGTACAATCAACATGTCAATAAGTGAGAGACAATTTTTTACAGATGATGACGTATTGCATAGGCTAAAAAGAACAAAGTATTTTTAACGGAAATTTCTCAATCACACACCTTGTTTATATACATTATATTATTATTTTCAAACAATATCACTCAGATTCCAAGATAAGTACTACCACGTCCAGACCCGAGACAATATAAAAAAATAATTTTCTATACCTATATGGCGACACCATGAAACTGGCGAGCAAAAGCAAAACTCAGGTATGGAGGTCGTTTAAATAGAAAATAATAAAAAAACATTGTTTAAAGATAAATAGTCCACCATCTTCGGTGGTCCGTTATATTGGATTTAGAATGAAGTAATTAATTTTTTTTTTTTCTTAACCAAACATTTGATATTCATGTCATAAAAGTATACAACTTTTATGACTGTTTGTATGCAAAATTTAAAATATTGTCACTTAGCTAATCTTACCATCTAAACTAAATACGTGTGCAAAGTTTCAGTTTAAGGGATTGGGAATAACTGCTTTAAAATTCAGATGCAAGATTTTACGAACGTACGTACACATTGTGATAAAATTAAAACACTTACTGCTCTTCCGAATGGATTCTGTTAATATTCACGTAATCTTGAAACAAAATTATGAGATAGCTTCTCTAGATAATATAGTTATTTTCGTGGTTTATTTTTTTGTGTATTTGAATATTAAAACCAACATTGTTTATTGTATTGTTTAAAAGAGTTTTTTGATAGGTGTCCGACCGCCTATTGCTGGGATGACGAACCATTAGCACGCGTGTCTGCAATGGCACGTGGCATAATATGTATATTGGGCATGTCTTTAATCACGAAATTCAAGTTTGTTCTCATCTAAACTGCAACAACAGAACTCACACAAATTAGCCAAATAAAACATTGCAAAATGTACCTTTTTATGGAAGATAAAGAGTTTTGACTTGATGATATTTATTATTATTACTTTCCCAATAATCACAAAGTCAAAATTATTTGACGTCTATGACCTCATTAAAAACATTTCGTTAGAAAAAATGGCACATCGATCCATGAAGGTTTGCCATCCCTGGCCTATTGTATTATACTGTAATATATTAAATTTACTTCCCTTATCTAAGTAATTTATCTATAAAACTGAAAGTCTATGCTGTGTAACACAATTGCTAAAAATATCAGAATATAATATTCTACTACACTAGTTATTTTCCGCGAGTTCGTGTGTATATTATACTATACGTGTAGCTTGCCGTATTATTAGTTTGTACCTAGGTGATATAATTTTTTAAATTGGTTCACTTGTTTCACAGCCTCTTAAAGGCGAACAAAAAAAAAGCAAAGGAAAAAAATCTTTATAATATTGATATAAAATAACGTGGAAAAACTTGATTGCGGAGTGGCAACCCAGTTTCCACTGCCGATCGATGCCAATCGTCCGAAATCGAGCTATTAAATCCTAGTGAGTATTTATATAAAATATCATACTCTACTACAAAGTTTTATTATAATAAACAGTTTTAACCTCCATCTATGAATAAACATAGCGTAGATGATTGTGTTACCAATCTATTAGCTCAATAACGCAAATGTTGTAATCAATCTTGATTAGTTTCCGACATTGTTTATTCAAATCTAGATTCGCATATAATCTACCACTGTTTATTTTCAATGTATCACAATTCATTCAACATAATATGTGCTGCGGTTACACAACATTCTGTTAACCGCCTTAGGAATTCAATTATTAATAATGAATACCATAACAATTTAATTATAATAACTTATTGATGTCATTCACATATGGTGCCTTTAAAATACACCCCCAAGATATCTTTTGGGTGTAACGGAAAAAGTCGTTAAATACTGTCAAAATTTCAATCTTATGTCTGTCTATCATATTTTGCTTAGTATGTATCTCAACACAAATTACAAAAGAACTCCTCTAGCTACAACTCCAGCTATAGGATACGACATCTTAGCGATGTCATAGCGCTATTCCGTTTCATAATTTAAGTAGTAATGCTTTGTACTTTTCGACAACATTGTTACCAACTTAGTCAATTATCTCAAATTTATCAACCAAGAGACACGTCAGAATAATAAAATGAAACGAAGTATAGTCATAATATTCGCTAAGATGTGATATCCTATTACTAGTGTTATGGCTAGAAAGTCACCCGTAATCCATAATCGAACGTTGGACCTCATAAATGGCGACGACAGAGGCATAAACTCGGAAACTACAAAAAGGGTTGACATTTAATATAAACAAGTACTCTTTACAAATAAAAAAAGAACTTAAAAGATCTATCACTAATTACAGAGTTCGTTGCAATACACCATACCACAAACCGGTTATAAGAATTGGTGTTCAAAGTTGCATTGGAATCAATATAACAGGGAGCAGGCAGGCGGCAATCAAATTGTTGGTCGAAACGACTGCATTTTGCGCCGGGCAGCCTCCAGCCCTCAATTACGACATTAAAATTATTATTTTATTTCCATTTTTATTTATTATTCGCATTATTATATTGTGTGGAGTTATTATCGGTGAAATGTTTCGTTCGGATAAACGTTCGCGCGCAGCGACACGCGATCCTCCATCGTTGCCTTACTTTAGGGTACCACAAGCAAATCTATTACAAAAATAAAAAGATGTTAATACGCAATATACAATAATAATAATTTAATTTTTCAATATAAAATCATTGTTTATTCATGATGGCATAGAAAACTTAAAACAAATACCTAGAAAATCATGATGTAATTGTACCTCCTATATTTTTTCTTTCTTATGACATTTAATGAAAATTACTTGCAATGTATAATGGATCTTAAAAAAAAAACCTTAAAATAGTACTAATTGAAATAAAAATTATATTAACATCGCCTTCAGAACCCACGTTACACCGTTCACCCTATGATTTGCCAACACACACGCCGCACTTTCTCATGGATTCAGTTGCTACTGGATTCCAATACTGTTTTTTTCATTTTAATATAAATGCCGCTGCAATTTCCACATAAACGTCCTATCGATAAATTGGTCCAATTAATGTCCACACGAGTTCATCTACCTCGATCACAAAAGTGAATAATAAATTAATAGCAAATGGTAAAACGTTATCGTCGATTATAGTCACATGACGAATTTAAAAAATCAACATCACCGTGTACTTATAAGTAGGATAACGTTAACACCGCCGGTGTTAATATCAGAACAAATAAAATCCCAACAAGTCTGACCGCGACGAGATATGTCGCGTGATTTTATAATAAAAATATTAACTGTATGCCGTTTAGTAGGCCGATGAAAAGGTTCTACGTTATTGGATGTGTCAATAGCGACGACCGGAATTTCACTGCGGCACAACA